TGGTATTAGAACAAGAAGTAGTTACTCTCTTAAGGAAGGAGGCCATCGAGGTGGTCCCTCCGCACGGGACAGACTCCGGGTTCTACAGCCGGTACTTCATTGTTCCGAACAGAGCATGGGTCGCAGAGGGCGTTCCCCTAGCGTTTCCGACGCAGCGTCTCATTCCGTCGAGGAACTAGGGTTACATACGTAACCTGAGACGTTTTTCTACTTCAAAATTTTAATGCGTCACACATGCCATTTGTTTGAAATTCACCAGCGATTTTGAATGAAAGTTTTCTGCACCATTTTTTTTCCAGTGTACAGACATAAAGGCATCTGTAGAAACACTCAACGATATTTTGTATGGAGATTGTTTAGACCAGAATAATGCAGTACTTTTGCTGCTGTTGATGAGGATACAATAGCTTTCACTGATGCAACCACAAAAAGGCGAGATTGATGTGATTGGCTGGAACAAAGTCACCTCTGACTGTCTGATGAGACTGACAAACCACTGCTGATGCATTGTACTGTCCTTTTGACATGAGAAAATGTCCTCTGTCCTCTGTCCTCTTGAACTCCCACACAGTATATAGGTACATATATACACACATAAACAGTGAAAAATGGGATGGACAGAAACTGAAATGGAAGGAACAGTGATGCAACTGAGAAAGAGAGAATAGCAAAATAAAAATTGAAGGAAAGGACCTCTGGATAACCTTAGAGATAGTCACAGGACATACAAGCACACACACACATACACTCTCAAACGGCCTTCAATCTCTGTGTTCAGAACATACACAAACACACATTCCCACACACAATATCATAATTGAAATGGCAGCGGCATGTGGAGATTCCCGACTTCACACCACGCTACACACACACACACACACACATTCTGTAATCTCTAATGATCAAAATTGCTCTTTTGCACAGACAGCATGCATTTCATGAACTGAAATGCAGTGTAAAACATTTTAGTCTGAATTTATCATATTCCTGCCTACTAGTTGCATTTCTATCCCTTTTACAATAGTACCTCATAATAATGAAGTGACATCTGGCAGAGAGAAATTTAATTAAGTAAGGGATAATGTACAGCCTGTCACTCTGGCAAAGTGTTTTTTATTTTTACATTTACATTAAGTAGAATGTCTAAAGTGGACTATCAAAATAAAGTGTAACCTTACATTATGCCTACTTACCAAATCAAAAATATTGGCATGAATTATTCGATTGAATTGTACTTGTAGAGACTGCAGAGACACAAAACAAAATACAGGTTTTCAGAATGAGTGGCTTGTTATAAAATGTGTTGTCCTTGACGTTGGCTATTATTGGTCATTATTTAGAAATATCTGACCACTCAGAGCTGCGACTAATGCATTCCAGATAAGTTCATAAAACAAAGGGTCATAAATTAGCAGAATTGATAACTATATACCTTTAATTGAATTATTGAATTGACCTTTTTATTCAGCAAGGATGCATTCAAAAATGTTAATTAAATGCTGTTCTTTTAAACTTTATATTCATCAAATAATCCTGAAAAAAGTATCACAGTATCAACAAACATTGATGATGTAGTAAATCAGCTCAAAAGGGAAATATTTATGACTAATTATAACTGGTTATGATTAATAATAAATATTTAGATTAGATCTTCGAATTAACTGTAGCAGAATCAATATCACCATTACTTGATCTGTCCGTCCACCGATAAAACCCAAAGATCATGCATGATTCTACGCAGACGCTACAATGAAAAGAAGAAGAAATCTTTGTGTGAGTGAATCAGCATATTAAAATGATTTCTGAAGGATCATGTGACACTGAATACTGGAGTAATGACAGCTTTACCATCACAGAAATAAAGTACATGATCAAATTACATATATTTACAAAATATATTCAAATAGCAAACAATATTTTAAAACTGCAATATTATTGTTTTACCATGTGCCTATCTTTGATTCAATAAATCAAAGATCCTGTTGAGCTATGTATTTAACATTAGCTTTTTATTGTAAGAAATGACTTCTTACAACCCTGCCAATTTGTCCAGTGTAAAATCAAGTACCGTATATCTTCACAGAGGACATGTTAGTGAAAGAAGCCATCAGTGATGGAATGAGCCCATGATTACAGCACACACACAGCAGGATATTGCTTTCTGTGTGCTTCGTTTCTAAAGGAGCTTGAGTCACAGTTGAGATTTAGTGTGAAGATAAATAATGTAGTGTACTCGTTAAATTGGCCTGGCTTGGCCTGGCCTGAAAAAGACCAACTTAGAAAGGAAAAAGTTTGAAGGTTAGCAGACTCCCCTGATATATATGGACCACTTACAACCTGCCAGAGAGAGCTTAAATAATAGTGTGCAATAGTTGCCATAAGTATTGCAAGGCAAATAAACCAAACCAGTAAATCTTGTGACTACCTGTTTTGGCTAGAGATATGCCACAGAAAAGAGGAGTAATAGAAGAACCAATGCAGATGGATTTCAAATAAACAGATCAATGATTTGTGGCTTACGCCACAGCAGGGTAATAGAGCACAAATTTCCCTCACCAGTGGGAAAACCGATACTGTGGCAATAAGGAATACACAAAGAAAACCACAGCAGACTGAGAGCAGCCATGATGTCTGTTATTGTTAGCTAAATGAAGCAGAAATAATGTATTTCTTGTGTAAACCCTTGTAAAACAGCATTCACAGAAATAGAAATCCCACTCAAAGCCCAAGGATGATAAAGTTTTCTTGAAAATGTAAAGGTTGCCCTGAATTGCACCTCTCACAGCTCACAGCTATATAAATAAGCTACAATGACTCCTGCATTTCAGCCTCTATTTAACTTCAGCACCACAGTGAAGGACAGCTCCCTATAACCCAACACACACACTTCATCTTATTCTTACACAAGCACAACGTTTACATATACAGTGTACATATACAGTATATCTCCATAAAGCAAACACAGAACACACACATCGCGTGTACATAAACAATTTGGTAAGTTGCATTTTATGTATGATATTATATAACAGTTAGTTCCCGTCCACTGATTTGATTGCATACTTGCTCTGAAATGCTTTGATTGCATCGCATGCTTATTCTGAAATGCTTAATTATGAAACAAATTGTGAAATGTGGTCTCTTTTCTACAAAGAAATAAATGTTTTGTCAAGTAACAAAAATGTGCTGCATGTGGTAGCAAAGATTTATTGAGACAATATTTTTTTATTTTTTTTATTCATTCATTTCTAGTTTAATTTAAGCCACAAATTAATTACATTTATAATTTAAATGTGCACTTAGTAATTTTTTCCTCATTAAAAACATTGTACACATAAAAACAACTATTGCTTTGAAATAGTTGTTGTGATCTTTGAAGCTTAACAGATTCACATGGGCTTACATCAACAAAGGTAGATTGTACGCTCTAAGAAAATTCCTAAAGAACGTTCTTAAAATCCCTTTTTTTAAAATAATCTAAAGATATAAAGAACCCTTTATGGAATGGAAAGGTTCCATGGGTGTTCATGGAACCATAGATGCCAATAAGTAACCTTTATTTTTAAGACTGTAGACTGTTTTTACTTCTTACGGAGCGATAATAACTGGCAGTTATACATTTTACAGTGCTGCAATATCTTTATCTTAGTTCAAAAGCAATGGCAATAATAACCCTACAAGTGGACTGGAGTGCCAGTGTTTATGAATGCTTTATGAGAGTGACCCGCTGAGGACACACAGTAGGACGTTACCTGTCATCATTCTGAAAAGATTGATCCCCGAGCAGCAGATCTCGAAAGCGGTATCGTGGAGGTAGAGGAGGGACCTCAGAGTCCACATCGGCCATTTTCAGGGTGGAAATGTCCAGAATAACACCAGTATTACTGCTGTTATTCCTCTGAACAGTCTCCGTAGGCAACCTGAAGAAACAGACGTAAATCTTACAGTAAATACAATCACATAACATGCATTATGCATGTATACACAAAATATATATTATTCATGAATTGTGTCAGGACTGCAGCTAAGCACTTGTAGGACACACTTGTAGTTTGGACACAATTTGCATGATTAGCATAATTATAAGTCTACACTGTAAAAAAAGGTTGTAGAAACTAGTTTTACTCTAGAAAATGTAACAAACAATTACAAATAAACAGCAACACACTGAATTAACTGTGAAATTTCGGAGTTAAAAAAATAGTGTTTTCTTGTAAAATGTATTCCAATAATCTTTTATTTATAACTTTGTATGTTTGCGAGGTTTGGTTTACCTGTCAGCAGCAGTGGATGAGCGTCGTGGCGGAGTCATGCTTGGCTCTGACAATATGGAGAGAAAGGGGAAGGAGTATTGCTAAACATTATGGTCACATGCATGAAGAACACCAGTAATGTAAGCATATAAAATTAATCCATGTTGTTATAGGCTAATGCAGGGTTACAGAAAGAATACATTACTGTAGGCTTACTCATTTGTCCTGTAACTGTATGAATAACTTCCAAGCTTGAAAGCTTAAACTGTCTCTATCTAACAGTTATCCAATAACAAGGCATCTTTCACAGATAGTTCACCAGTACCCTTGGCCATAATTATACCCTTGAGGAACTACAATCCACAGACTGACGTTCACCTTTTATGTCATTCTTGTCACATTTTGCACACTGTGAAAACCATCATCTAGAATGTTCCCTGTATGGTTTCTATTAGCGCTCTCAGGGATACATGAGTGTGTAATGACAGTAGTGAGTGCCTGCATTAGTGTGCAAATCGCTGATAAGTGGGTGGAGGGTGATTTGGTTGGCCAAGGGGTACAATGAATTACAGTGCATAAAACTCAGACTAAAACGTACCTTTGCTCAAGGGTTATACAGTGCTCAGACGCTAATAAAAAGAACAATGTTGAGGATATTAAAAAAAATGGGCATACCTTAGGGAGAAAATGTCATTGACACAAGAAACTGCATCTGTGTGCACTTGCAGACACAGTATGAATGTTTTGACAAGGAACCAATAATATGTAGTTCATAAAGTAACATCTCAACTAATTGGTTTTTGTAAATAAATAGAAAAATAATAATAATTGAATGAATCTGACTACACTACATAACAAATCACAAATATATTACAGTATTTTCTGGGTCAAATCAGGTATAGCTCCTTAAGTGTTAAACCAATAATAATTTCAATATTTTTTACCGATATTCACACTTAATTAGGAACTAGATGCTTACTATTCGGTCTAGAAATAACTAGAACCATTTGGTGGAGCTATGCAGAGTAACATCCAACAAAGATATTCAAAGGTAACAAATTGAATAAAAATGTTTGGATAATTACTCACTTTTTACATAAGAGTAATTTATTCTGAAGTGAGAAATGCATAGCTCATTCAATAAATTATACAACTCATTAACAAAAATGACAATAAATAGCATTTAATGAAAATATTTGCATATAAAACCAACACTGCATAATTAGCAACAATAGTATTAATACCACCATCAATAATAATAATAATAATAATTGTTGTTGTTGTTACGTAAAATGCTAAAATTAAGAGAATGAAAATCGGTTCTGCATATCAGTTATCAGGCACATAGTTAAAATAAGAACAAGGACACCAATACTCTATCTATCTATCTATCTATCTATCTATGTCAGTATGAGCTCTACTTTAGCCTATACCTAAGGTGACAACTATATTTTTACACTTTTTATAGTGTTGTTTGGATTTCTTTCTCTTTTAAAAAAAAATACGTTTTCAAAAATAATTCAAATATAAAACAATTCTAAATCAGAAGTGTTGCTGTTAATGTATTATTTCCACTAGCAAATCTACAGCACTAATAGGCTACTCATGCCCAAAAGCAATGCCATCTTCACAAAACAATATGATAAATGTAAAAAGTACAAAACACGAACACGAATTAGTCATTCGTGACATGACATGATGTTCTCACCTGCCTGAGACAGGCTGCGCGGTCCCATCATTGTAAATAACCGTGTTACTGGCGACCCAAACGCCGCACATTTTTAACAGAAGCCACTGCGAAGTGTCCGTGAAGGACTTCCGATGGTAATGTCCTCCAGATAGATCCGTCCTCCATGGACACTTGCATTAAAGGGGCGGATAACGACCCTGATTAAACCCTCCTATTACAGAAGAGCACCGCTGAGTGCAATACTCGGTACCTTCAACATCTCGGTTTCTGTTTGTCGCGTGCAATTCAACTTTGCATCCATGAGATACTGGTGATGTTGGTCATTAATTAAAGAATGATAATATGTTGTCCACATTCAATTCACATATTCAGTCTCTGTGTATCCAGTGAGCCCAAAAAGCCCTTGTTTGACGAGAAGAAAACGGCAACTGCTGCGCGTCAGAAGACATGTAGAGCAGCAGGGAAATGTTTGAGACGCTGTCACCTCTGCATCTGTTAGGTAAAGCCACTAAGTCATCCTTACAGCCTCTCTTCTCTCTCCTTCAACGCTTACATCGCCATCTCCTGGACCACCTGAAATCCTCGACAACACGGACATGACTAAAGAGACGGTGCAATCCAAATTAAATTAAACTGTGCACCATAAACATTCACATCAACGTCAATCATTTCATGCTATGTGCTTGCTTACAGTGAGCTGCTAACCAATCAAAATCAAGACCTTGATTAGGTCATTAAGTTTTAGGTGTAATTAATTTTATTGGCTGGTTTAATGTCAGTCATATACAAAGGCAAGAAACTCGTTCTCTTTCCCATAAAACCATTCACGCAGAATTATAGAGTAACTTTTGCTATTATGAAACATAGTAACAATCGTAGTAACTCTTTACCAAAAAACTGACATAAAAAATAAGCATAGATCAAGAATCAACAAATCATGTCATTTTGACATCCACTGAGAATATATTCACGTAAGAAATACAATATTCCTTTGTTTCAATGCTAAATTAATAAGGTAATAAAAATAAAATGAGCCAATTACCTCATCCTTAAAGGTTAAAGTAATGAGGCTGTTAATCTTGAAATGCTGATGGACCTTGAATACACAAAAGATTCATTCATTCATTCATTCATACAAATATCGTGGATTTTTTAGGGTTGCTCTATATGACCTAGAATGTCATTCTATTCTATTCTATTCTATTCTATTCTCACATAACCAAATGTCTTCCTGAATATTGGTTATTGCTGGAACTGATTATCTGACTTTGACATATTAGCTGTTTTTTAAAATAAGATTTATTAATAAAATTTGTAATATAATTATTAAATAATGATTAATAAAAGATTATGCCAAACTGCATATGCATAAGATTTTTTCCAGGAATTACAGTCTTCTAAAGGTTTGTACTGTGTGACACAATCATTTTTACTTAAATCCCACCAAAATATCAAAAAATACTTTTAATTCAGAAATGTATAAGCTATTCACACAAAAGGTGTTTTACATCATTTTTCTATAACCGCCTCATGTATTTTTGAATAACATTCAGATAAATAAAGAGGGTCAAATTAAGAGTCTGGGACCAAAATACACATTTGTGAATAGAAACAATTGTCTGTATGTAATTTTTCTTACACAATCTCATGCTTAAAACCTTTGTGCTTTGTCAAGGGTTGTGTCTAGTTCTTGCATGAGGAAGATGTTGAAACATATATAGGCTGGTTGTACGACTGAGATCTGGGAAACCCAAAGGCCTTAGGTTTATACTCTGAAAGAGGTGAAATGAAGAAGCACTAGAATCTGCTTTCATTACAGTGTCATTGACCAATGCTTGTAACTCCAGATTGCTCCAGGGGGACTGTCCATTAGTAAGTGTCCATAACAAGGCACTTTCAATAAGTGCGCACTCATTTTCCACGCCAGTCTTTCTGGCTATAAATAAAACCTTCCCAGAGAGACCCATATAATGTAATGGATCGTTGATATTAAATTATTTTTCTGTTTTCGTATTTTCATTACTCACCTCTAACCTAACATATTAGCTCCACCAATCATAAAACTACTATAGCACATTTTATTACCATCACAGATCTATCAAATACATTTCACTTAGAGAGCAAACTAAGAGTTTAGCAAACAAAGCACAAATTTAGTGTGTTTTTAGCAAGACAACTCCACCGCCTGGGTGTTTAGTCTTCATACATCCAAAGTGTCTGTCAAGAGAAGAAAGAGAAGAAATGTTATCTAAGGAAGAGAAGAATAGACTTGATGGATGTGTAAGAGTATAGTTCACACCTCCAAGTGTTTGAGTCGGGGTTATAAGCCTCAACCGATGTAAGAGTTGATATCCCATCTGAGCCATCCCACCAAACACAGTCAGGGAAACCTCCAAACCGCAAACATGACAAGAGATGGAACAAAACACTAAGAACTGTAACCTCATTTTACTCAGTCAGCCAGGAGGCAAGACTATATTGTCAATAAAGTGTCAGCTGTTGCTGTGATGTACTTCAGGATGAAAGTCAAAAAAGTCAATAGGTGTGTACTAAAATGTCAATAGGCATCGGAGAATAGAAAACAGGTTGTTGTGGGTAGAATAGGCTCACTTGAAAGCGTTTGTGTCCCATTGGTTTGACAGGGGTCCACTTCTGGTTGTCAGGGTAAAACTTCTCTGCCGTGCTGAGCTCCAAACGCAGTTCATCTCTGCCGCCTGCCACATAGATGCGTCCTAAGTATACAGCACAGCCTGGCTGCTCTCTGGCAGTGCGCATGGGGGGACACGGCCGCCACATTCCTTCCAGTGGGTTAAAGCGTTCAACTGGTCAGGAAAGCACAATCGGATCTGTTATGCATACTTCGCATTTAAAAGTGTGCATCATGTTCTTACAAACCTGTATGACTTACTTTCTTTTGTAGAACACAAAAGAAGATATTTAGAAGAATGTCCAAGCTACTCCTTTCCATATATTAGTTTACTCCACATTGGCTGTGTTTACATGCACAATTTTGTTTCAATCGGACTGAATTCATTCCGATTCATGAATCTGAATGTAGTGTTTTCATGAACTTCAAATCAGAATTGATTTTTTTGACATGTGCACACTGCACAAATATAGAATTTCCCACTGTTTGCACATAATAACCATTCTCCTACACTGTTTCTTTATTTGTTTCATACAGCAGAATTAATATTTATCCATTTCTGGATAAATAGCCTTTTACATATAAACCTCTGTGCCATGCTGCTTATACTGTATTTATCACCCTGTGCCCAAACCAGTCATCTGTGGATGAGAATCCGAAACAAGGGCTGGTGGGACATTCTCCTGCTCCACTTCACAGACTCTGTGTGAAAGGAGAGTTTTATAATGACAGTACAACTCTTTACTCAATTGAAAGAACAGCTCGTTCTGTGAGTCATGTGTCATTACCCTATCTCTACATCATTGCACATGCGCAGTCCTTTCAGTTTCGGTTTTCAATCTGATCGAGTCTTTACATGCACTCTTGATCGTATTAGAAAAGGAATAAACCACTCCTTTAAATCTGATCAAAATTTCATTCAGATCGAGATCAATCGGCTCGATTAAAGTAATCTAAATTACTTTCAATTTTACTTTTACTTTTTTTTTGTATGATCTGCCTCGTGTATTTTTAAGTAACTTTCAGATAAATGAAAAGGATCATGTCTTTGGCACGATGTCCAAACCGCTTAGTAAAAGTGCACGTGGATGTGGTGACCATTCTTTGATTGTATGTAAAAGAGCAGCTTTAACATTTTGTTAGATATCTATTTTCTGTTCTGTGAAAGAAAGAAAGTCAAATGCGGTTGAAACAACATGAGTTAATTATACCAGAATTTTCAGTTTAGTAGTGATTTTTTTAATGCCCATCTTCATCTTGGTATTTATACTGACACATAAGTGTGAATACATATAAGTGTGAATACATATAATTGAAGCATTACATGAAAGGAAAATGTTTTTGGTTATTGGATGTCACTGTAGCAAAACCATAGGCAAAAGAGTATAACTCGAGTACTATGTGGCTGGTCATATGAGCGGGGACCCACATTATGCATAATAAGTACAAGTAATACGTTTTCTGTGAGTACATAATATTGTACACAACAACATAGTATTTGGCAAATGTACTACTTTAGATGTAGATTTGTATTATTATTATTATTAAAAAATATATTTTTAAAGATGAAGCAAATGTTGCCGTAATAATTAATATTTAATGCAATGTATAGTGCAGTGTTTACCCTCAGTATACAATCATCTACAAATTTTTAATCTTTATTTTGGTTCTGTACAGGATATACATCTATTTTATTTACATTAACTTGTCTGTTTTTTTTGTTTGTTTTTTTCACTGAAAAGGCTGAAAGCATTGCTCAAGTGCACTGATAAGTAAAAATCCAGAGAAAGGTTGTGGGAGTTCTCTCGACCCTCACTTCTCACAGACAGAAATAGGCATTAATACGTTCAAGTGTAGTACTTACTGTATATTTGCCCCGTTCTCCGGAAATATTTTTATAGCTATGCCTAGTTTTTCTATGTTTGTGTGAGTGTCTGCGAGCTTGCAGCAGAGGCTTTTGGGTCACTACTGACGTAAAAACATTAACAGACTCTGGCCCGTTATTATTAAGTGGAGAATGACAGCATTATGTAGTGTATTTCATCAAAATAAAAAGTTGTTTAGTCTTTTTAAAGTGCTGAATAACTTTCACTATAGACATTGGTGGGCTTTGTGGAGCAGCCCTTCAGAAAATAATTAATTGTGAGAGCGTGGTCTAGATGTTAACATACACACTCTGACACACTAAGCTCTGCTGGGGGTGATGCAAGTTCAAAGTTGGTGACAGTTCCCAATTCCATTCTCGCCTCTTCTCCCTGCCATTTTCCCTCCCACTAAATAACAGATTGAATAATAAGCTTTTTCAACCAATAAAAAAAAAAAATCATCTCTTTGGAGAGAAGCAAAAATTGTTTACAGCTAGGGTTGCAAAGGGGTGGAAAATTTCCGAGAACTTTCCATGGGAACTTAATCTGGGGAATTTTGGAAATATTCCAAGTTGGACATTTAACAGGAATTTATGGGAATTAATTGTAAATTTGGGGAAATTTATAGAAATGGTGTCTAAACATAAATATAAATATAAACATTTTGTGTGGTCATAAGATGACATGTTTTAAAAATGACATTTTTGGATTTTTTTTTTGGAACCTGTGATATTTTTCAAGGTTTCATTGATGAATAAAAAAATTAAAAAGAACAACATTTATTCAAAATATATATTTACTATCACTTTTTTTTAATCAATTTAACATATCCTTGCTGAATAGAAGTATAAATGTCTTTCAAAAGAAAGAAAGAAAGAATATTAATATTATAATGATTTCTGAAGGATCATGTGACACTGAAGACTGGAGTAATGACCGATGAATATTCAGCCTATCATATACAAACATAAATATAAACATTTTGTTTGATCATAGGCTCACATGCATGCACACTAATACAAATTTTAAAAATGACATTTTTGGATTTTTTTTTTGGAACCTGTGATTTCTTTCAAGGTTTCATTGATGAATAAAAAAATTAAAAAGAACAACATTTATTCAAAATATATATTTACTATCACTTTTTTTTAAATCAATTTAACATATCCTTGCTGAATAGAAGTATAAATGTCTTTCAAAAGAAAGAAAGAAAGAATATTAATATTATAATGATTTCTGAAGGATCATGTGACACTGAAGACTGGAGTAATGACCGATGAATATTCAGCTTTGCATCACAGAAATAGATCATATTTTAAAGTATATTAAAACAGAAAACCATCGTATTACTGTTTTGTTCTGTATTTTTGATCAAATTGATTTGGGTTAATTCCCATATATTCCCATAATTGGTTAATTCCCATATATTCCCATCAATTCCCATAGAAATATTCCAGTCTTGAAAATTCCTGGAATTTTGCAACCCTATTTACAGTACCTTTAAATATCAGGTGTTTTCCAGTTTGCATACCTATGTACTATTCTATACTATTTGTAGTATAAACCGTGTGAGTTGAGTGTTCACTCTGAAAATTCCAACATGAAAAAGTGCACTTCAAACACTTGGATGGTGCACTTATTCAGTTGATCAAAGTGTTGATAAAGTGTTGAAAGTTGGACACTTCAGGCACTTAAAGATTGCAGCATAGTAAAAGTGAAAAGTGCATAGCACACCATTTGGGACACACCTATTTAAAAATAAATCAACACAGGCTTATTGGAAAAAAATCTTTACCTATATTTTTTCTAAATTCCAAAAACAAACCTACAGTTCACTGCTATTTTCCACCTAAAAGTAAATAACTTTTATTTCTCTTCACACAAAAAAATATGATTACACGGCAGATTATTGATGAATATAATACTTTTACAATTCTATAACCCCAAAATACTTTTACCATGATGTAGTGCATGATTTGTAAATTAATACATTTTGATGTTTGCAGCACATATCCAGCTCAATATGCATGATCTGGTGATGTAGTAAACTTGCATGGTAGCTCACCTGGTACTACATTGCACTTGTGATCCTGAGTGTTCAGGTACAAGTCCAGTAAAACTTGAGTCATGATAAAAGACCTTAAAGACTTGTAGAAGCAAGCTATAATTGCATAGTTGCCTCAGCAAATGTGTTTTTATCTCATGTTTGCTTTTGTTAATAAAACGTTGCCAGATTCACGATCAACTGTCTTGAATAAAACTAAAAGCGCTTTCAGTGCTACCCTCTAGACATTTCACTTTAAAAATGTTGGGAAATGTGCAAATGTCACCACCACATTTGACTTGGAAAAATATTCCAATGAGCCTGGGTTGAAAAACATCAACATCAACTAAACATCAATTGTCAATTCTGACCTGAATTCAATGGAGTGTCTCCGTCAGTTCCTCCCATGACATATATGAACCCATCCAACACTGCGGCAGTCGCCCCAGAGCGATGCTGGTGCATTGGAGCCATCTTGGTCCAAGTGTTTAGCACAGGATCATACCTGAATAAAATCAGAGGTATCACAGAGGCTTTCACAATGTCATATATTCCATATGATGATATCAGGCAAAATATATTACACCAGTTGTAGTTTTGCAAATATTTAAACCTTATTTTTGTCTACACAATTTATAATTCACTGTCCTGTTACAGCATGTTGTATAACAGTCATCAACTGTTCCCTGACACATGTCTATATGCAGTATGTGTAAAGTACCTCTCTACGATGTTGGTACAGACTGCTCCATCAAATCCCCCCAGGGCAAACATGAACCCATCCATCTCCACCACACACACACCGCTGCGGGGGCTGCTGAGGGATGCCACCTCGCTGCTCCACACATCCATGCTGGAGTCGTACCTGAAGAAGAATCAGAATGCCATGCGGAAGTTTAATCATTCTCTGTTTTAACATGTTTGTAGTGTTGCTGAGTGTGAGATGAGTCAGACTGCAGAGAAGGAAGGGACATTATGCCCATGTTTTGCAGTGACATCAGGTCTTAGCTAAAAAGATCAAAAGGCAAAGTAAATCTCATACAGACTGAATGATATCACTGAATGATGATTTCTAATACGAATGTAGTGTAGAATCGGTATCTGCTAAATGAATCTGTTCCCAGAGCTGCTGTGCTATGAGACAGAGGAAGAGGATATTTATAAAGGAGATGTGCAGGATGTCATTATCACATAATTTGATCACTCACTCATCAAGCCAAATGCGCAGTGGGAAAAAAATTGCTCTGTCTTGTGTGCCTGTGTGGTTGCCGGGGAAATCAGCATTGTTAAAACATTTTAATAATGTTTGTGTGTGTTTTTATGGAGACTGTGAGGTATGAGTGTGTATGTGTGTTTGTTGGTGGAACTGCTAAGTGAACTATATAAGCTGTCATGTGCTCTCAGCTTTTGGCTTCAGGTTGCTAATTGGAGCCCATCTCCATATGTCAGGACAGTGTCATCATTACTCATTCGGTTCCTACTCACACACACACACATTTATACATTATATTAGTGAGTGCATCTCATATCTGCAATGGTTTTCACACAGAAGTGATGCTTTTTGCTAAATCTCAAAGGGATAATCCACCCAAAAACTGAAAATTCTGTAATACTCACCTTCATATAAGTTACATAAGTCAAAGAAAGATGTGAATAAAAGCCTAAATTACAACTGTTCATCATATAAACTTATTGTGTCTCTTCAGAAGGCCTGGATTAAACTGCTTAATTCATATGAATTACTTTTACGATGTCTTTTTGTACTTTTAAAAACTTTTGGTTACATGGACTTCTAATGGATGGAAAAAAATGATGAGAGAATATTAAAAATGTCATAATTTGTGTTGTAATGATGAAGTCTTATGGGTTTGGAATGACATGAGGGTGAGTACACAGAATTTTAAATTTTTGGGTGAACTAACCCTTCAACAACCCTGACAGAAACCTGCTGATATTAAAAAAAACTCAATTTGGCTGATTTATGAGCTTTTCAAATAGCAATCAAATGTCTTCACAAGTATATTTTTGACTTATCACGATATTTTCAAAAACTTGGCCTTCAAAAGTGCAGCCAGTCCTGCACACACACAAACACACACACACACACACACACACACACACAAACAAACACATGCACGCACACACACACAAACACACATGCACGCACACGCACACACACACACACACACACAAACAAACACATGCACGCACACACACACAAACACACATGCACGCACACGCACACACACACACACACACACAAACAAACACATGCACGCACACACACACAAACACACATGCACGCACACGCACACACACACACACACACACAAACAAACACATGCACGCACACACATTTGTTGCAGAAGGAAACCAGAAAGATTGAGTGTTAAGGAAATCAAATCAATTAAGTTTGAACAGATTAGACTGTCAACCCCTTTGCATATTTTGCAATGCTTCATTTTTTTCTTAATGAAAGGTGAATGGAATATATCACTGACAGAATATGAGTAAAACAAAACTTATCATAGGGGTTCAACGACAATACTCTCTGAAGGTCGACTTGCGTTCAAACTAAATTACAATGCAACAGGTAATTAGATTTATGAGACTGACCTAAAATAGGTCTTGATATATCAAAGAGTAAAAATACTTCACCTTCACACCTGTGTTACAGTGTATAATAATCAGCACATTTGTCTCTTTGTCACATTTGCATCACGGTGGAGATATTTATGGGCTGAAGAGAGCTTCTGCACTGACCTTCGTTATTTACAAAATCTCAATGTTAATAACTATTTTGTCCTTTACAGTGTGCTCTTGATGGGCCCAGATCAGCGAAAAGATCATTTGGCTCTTATTTAGGCATTAGCCGGATGCATTTACAGAATACATTTTATCATGGGCTTACTTCTCCACACTGCTCACGCAGGTGATGTCATCATGTCCACCTGTAGTAAAGATCATGCCACCCAATGAGCAGACAGCCACATCTCCATAACGCTTCAGCATCGGCGCCATTGTTCTCCATTCATTATAGAAAGGATCAAATCGTTCCACAGCACATGACGCAGATGTTGGGGTCCAACCACCAATATGGATTAAAACCAACCCCCAACTGTTAAAAAAAAAAAAAAAAAAAAAAAAACGGAGAAGGAGTGCTTTATCTCATTGCTTTTATAAACATCATCAACTAAAGAAAGTATTTTGGACGACTACGTTCCAACACTGAGAAACAAGATGATCACAAACTTTTTATTATATTATATATTCCAGATTGCCAGTGTGCTCTCAGACTTTTGAAGCTCACAGTAGATAGATGATCAGTGCTTTAATGTGAGCCAGTGGCCGTTGGCACAATGTGTAATAAATGAAAAAATGTTTTCTGTCGCTGGCTCCTCATCAGCAATAGAGAATTTCGAACGGTTTAGCAGTCGTACATTGTTGTCTCTTTCAAAATGTACAACTGCAACAGAGAAAGCAATGTAGGCTGCAACGTAATTTCACAGTTGCAGAAAAAAATTACTTACATTGATATCAACCACATAATGCATGTGACCATATTCAGTTATCTTTATTGAAACATCTATTTTATCTTTCTCAACTATTTGTAGATAGAAGGGTCAGTTCAACCCAAAATGAAACTTCTGTCATCATTTACCCACCTTCATGTCATTCCAAACTTGTATGACTTCCTTTCTTGTGGTACATGAGATATTTTGAGAAGATAAGATACTTTGAGAAATGTCTCAGTGTGTTTTTTTCTTTTTCTTTTAGAAAGTCAATGGTCACCAAAACTGTTTGGTCACCAACATTCTTCAAAATATTGTCTTTTGTGATCTACTGGTTTGGAAAGACATAATGGCATCTTGATACAATGATTTAGCAATATAGAGAAATAGACTACCAATAACAAAACAGAATAGGAAGACTGAAGAAATCTAGTGATCCTGACCAATGAACATTATGTCCATGAGCTGCTTTTGAGGAAAGTGTTTGGATGAACGGACACAGGTGATGTGTGGGCTGAGAGGACAGCGGCTCCCTTGAGGGCTTTTCTGACCAGATTTCTTCATGAGGTCAGTGACTGTCCCTCCGACAGCTGCCCTGAGGGATAAAAAGCACCCATGTTACATTTTGATTTTTACAGCCGTCAAGTGACTTAAATAAAAAATAAAAAACTTTTATAATATAGATAACATTTTGCTTATTAGAAAGTTTCCTAAATTAGGTTATCATTCAAATATACCATAACAACAATATAATTGTATCCATGGTCATAAGTGCACTTTCAATCACTGTCAGAGGAATCATTTTCTTCATTAACAGCAATTCATCTTAATCATTTCATAATATTAGATTTAAATCAGCACTAGTCACAGAGACAACCACATGAGAAATATCCTAATTGCCCTTTTACATAACCAACCACAGCTTTCATAAAGAGAAGTAATTACCCTTGTTCATCGAGTATCCTTATGTTCTCTGTGTTTCTGTTCACTGACTACTGTGAGGCAGTGGATGTGGCTGTAGTCTGTCTGTCGTCTAGTGAGGCAGTGCGTAGATATGTTGATGTACATAGTTGTTTCGAGTAGATGGTGTCCTTTTCTGGCCCCCACAGATGATGTTTTGGCCTTTGGATGAGCTGGAGAAATCCTAAAGATACATATCCTATTTGCAGTGTGGTTTAGCAGTCTGTAACCATAAAAACTCAAGCCATCTATATGTCATATGGAATGGAATACATTCCAGAGAGTGTGCCGGGCACATAAAGAATCACAAATTACTACACTTAGAATGTAATGGAAAAAAATATTGACTAATAATGAATAACATTGAAAATGTCATGCGTATGATTAGGAATTAACTGCACAACCAATACATTTTTTTAGTATCTTTTTGTTTTTAATGTAATTCAAATATCTGTCATACAAAATCACTTTTATATTCAGATATAATATACAGAGCTAAATGAATTAATAAATCAATAAAAAATATTTATTCAAAATTAAATCAGTTAAATTAAACACAAGTTCATAATACATGATATAAAGTTTATATCACTCTGATAAACGTTTTTACCTAATACTGGTTTTCATTTCTCATGTCTCAGGTTTCAAATATTATATATTTTTACTCATTACACTATTTCATTATGTTGAGGGTTAATTAAAACTTTTTTCTTATATTTCATTATACTTATTTATTAATGTCTTGCTGCAACATCCTATTATAAATAATAAAGCAGTTTCATTACTTGTCAACCTCAGCTAATATATCACCCAACAGTGCAAATCAAGAGTTAATTAACATAATTTATCCTTAAAACTTATGAAAATATCAAATATATTCTTCTAAAATGTTTGGTGTCCAAGAATAAAGTGTGTGCAAAATCATAGCACGCAGTGCTGACATTTGTTGTCACTGTTTTGTTGTGCCTTGGGCCATTTGTTGATTTGTCACTTTTTGTTCTGACAGCATCACATCATGTTTATGTGCACTTTCACTGCAGACAAATCCCTTCAGTTCTTTCAATTTTATAATGACAATCCTAACAGTTTTAGTTTGTGATGTATATCACAACCTTAAATGTCCAAAGATCGTCTCTGTTAGTCCAAACAGAGGGTTACCACATATCAGACAACAAACGCACCATGTACTGGAATGAACAGAGCAAGAAAACCCCTTGTGATAGTGTTGCTCATTTATGATATTGCTAATATAAATCAACTGATTTACAACCAGGACTGAGAACATGGCCTGTAGTGTTTACAATTCATGGCCTATTAAATTGCATAACCAAATTCCCCAGCCACAAGAACCTTCTTTCGCCACAGAGAACCTTTTGTGAAACAGAAAGGTTCTTCAGATGTTAAAGGTTCTTTATGGAACCATTTAGACAAAAAGGTTCTATGGCATCGTGAAGCACCTTTATTTTTAAGAGTGTACGCTACAACACACGAGGCAGCTGTATATTTGCGTATTCTTCGTATCATTTGTATGTTGCTTGTTGATGAATGCAGTTTGTTATAACAGGCTAGAAGAGAGTGAGAGTTTAGCAATCAGTGTGCTAAAAAATATCTATTACTATGAAAATGAATCCATTCAAGACATTTAATATATACAATTTGAATATTTTTCCCAAAGTAATTTCCGTCATGATCAAGTGAGTCCCCAGAGTGTAAACTCCAAATGGCTATCATTAAATTATTGTCCTGCATGCTACATTTGGCTGATCTGCTTTTAGGTTTTTGATTGAACTGGGTACATGTAAACAAGCCATATTTATATAATCCTGTCACATAAATTGTGTTTACTAAAACATAATGTAATCCCATTATTCAAAATAGTAAAAACATAATGTAATGCCTTTATTCCAAAAATAATTACGTCTAAAAATGGCAAAATTGGTTGGCAGATGAGTGACCTGCGATTTCCTGACTCTTATTTACTATTTATGTGGTTGGTTCTCTGAGAGATTTGATGGAACTGAATGTGCCGCTTGCTTTTACACATTGTGTGCATTTGATGTATTTTTAGGAGACATCTCAATAACAAATGTGCATCCATTGGAAGGACTCACTAGGGGTTGGCCTATGAGATAAATAAAAACATAGGTGGTCTTATATAAAACACAGAATATCAGGACGATTTAAAACCAGACTGAATGAATTATCCTCAATTTTGAACAGAGCAGGAGTTAGAAGGTTCAGAACAGGTTTCAGAACAAAAGGTTTGTGTTCTTTCAAAGACTGCAAGAAGGAGCAATACCAAAGAAGCAGGAGAAATGTCATCTTGTTATTGCAAAACGAGAGCTCATGGTGTTCTTTTATAGCAACGTTAATAGAGAGCAAAGGGGAAGGCGTCCATAAGGATTTAATGTGCTACTTAGATGTGACGTCGGATTTATTGGGTGATCCTGTGATGAGAGCACATGACTGTACAAATTTAACTACAGATAATCCTCCTTTGACCGCAGAGGTGGTTGCCTTTCATATTTTGGTTCAGCCCTAATCAGATTATTAGCACCTCATAAGGATTCTGTGCTAATCATCATTTGATAAAGGTCAAGCCAAATTATGAAATCATCAACCTCAGTTCTGAAGAACTAAAATGTTCCACATTTGTTTATCATTAAATAGCAGTTAGTTACGGTCCTCGAATTTAATATGCAGTCCAACAGCACTGGGGCTTTTCACAGTTTGTATCACTCTTCTTTTCCGTGTTTACACGTTCCAGACAATCTGCCCATCTGTGTATTAGTGGTTGGGTTTTTTGATTCAGCAACAGGTGGCAACAAGTGCTTGCCTTTATTCATTCAGAATCAAAACACTACTACTGTGTGTTGCTCAAGGCATAGCAGTTCATTCTGCTGTGGCTTCATTTGGAAATATTTTTTGCTGGCTGAGCAAAAAAACTCAAAAGAACCATTAATGTGTCAATGTAAGTATTAGTTCACCCAAAAATGTAAATAATAATAATTCTTCTTTGTAGGTATTTATGTCACTTACATACACTTATGTTGTTCCAAACTACTAAGATTCATGTGCATGTGAATTTATGTGAATAAAACTCTACATTAAATCGGTTCATTATATAAAGCAACTGTTCCTCTTCAGAAGACTGGGATTTAACCATTTGATTCATATGGATTACTTTTACAATGTCTTTAAAAACTTTTTGAAGCGTCAAAGTTTTGCTTCCATTCACTTTCAAAGGAAGAACAGAAATCTCTCAGGTTTTATAAGTCTTTATAAGGTTTATACGTTTTATAAGTCTCATGGGCTTGGAACAACATAAGGGAGAGTAAATGATTACAAAAGTTTTATTTTTGGGAGAATTAACACTTTATAGGGTTAGTTCACCCAAAAATGAAAATTCTGTCATTAATTAATCACCCTCATGTCGTTCAAAACCTGTAAGACCTTTGTTCATCTTTGGAACACAAATTAAGATATTTTTGATGAAATCTGAGCTTTCTGACCCTTCATAGACAACAAAGTAACTACTACGTAGCTACCAAGACCCAGAAATGTAGTAAAAACATTGTTAAAATAGTCCATGTGTCATCAGTGGTTCAACCGTAATTGTATGAAGCTACAAGAATACTTTTTGAATACTTGAATATGGTAGTTATGTTGCTGTCTATGCAGGGTCAGAAAGCTCTTGGATTTCATTAAAAATATCTTAATTTGTGTTCCGAAGGTGAACAAAGGTCTTACAGGTTTGGAACGATGTGAGGGTGAGTAATTAATGACAGAATTTCATTTTTGGGTGAACTATCCCTTTAATGCTAATTTCTTGTTTCTTGGATATAAAAGTAATATGATGCAATCATACTTGGTTTAAATATCAGCACATCTGTCATAACCTGTGGCTTCGAGCTTTTGTCTGACCACCAGGGACACCCTATTAACTGCATTGCAACACACTAAAAATTACTGTGATGTAGCATCTCACAGCATATGCCAGAACATTGCATCGGAGGGGTGAGGCATTCTCAAGACAGAGAGTGTTTTCTAACACTGACTAATAAATTTTATCCTAGTGGGACAACCGACACACCATACTGAAGCATGTAAAAATTACTGTGATGTAGCATCTCACAGCATATGCCAGAACATTGCATCTTTATGTGAGATACTGTATTTTCTGACTAATAAATTTTATCCTAGTGGGACAACCGACACACCATACTGAAGCATGCGGGACATCTAAAATACTGAAGCACTGCTGGCAATGCCAAAGACCTCAGCAGCTGTCTCAATCTCTCACAGCTCAGGCAGATGATAACATAAACACATGCCAAAAGACCCTGCAGTAGGATTTTTACCTCCTGGGCAGCAGTAATAGGGCCCCGAATCGTCTTCATTATTGTTGTTGGATGTACATGTTATGGAGAAACTGGTGATAATTTCACATTTTTGTTGCAAGTGGATGAAATCTTTTTGGATAAATGCAGAAAAAAACATTGAGATGCTTTCAAAATGTACCCCCAATATATCTGAATGCACCCTAAGCGAGTGGACCATAATGGCTTGTCAGCATAGGCTGAAACATTCAGAGTTGTAACAGAATCAGATATAAACAAACCAATATAACTGGAAGTAGGCAGTGACCGTATCAAGAAACGGGGGCTAGTCTGTGAGATCGCCATAGTCTGTGAGTCATAATAACAGAGTGATTCATACAAGCATCCATCAAGTCAACCAGACGTTAATCATCAGCTGGCCCTTCTAGAAGACCTGAGGCTGGAAATGTCAACAGGCAGCTATTTTCACAGTCAATCTGTCAAACAGACCAACTGGTGAGTGTTGTTGAGTGCCTGAATTTATTAGTATAATCAAAAGGCCATCGTCAAGCCACCTGTAGATTAAAGAAGAATAGAGCCAAAAAGAACAGATCAAAATTGGTACAGTTTCTTGTGAAGAAGTCAATTTTAGCTAAAAAATGATTTTAAAATTTGAAATTAAAATTAAAAAAATTAAAATTAAAAACAAAACAAAACAAAAAATGATTTTAAAATTTGAAACAGCTGAACAGTTTTTGCTACTACAGTGTAATAAAAA